TTATATATATATATATATATATATATATATATATATATATATATATATATATATATATATATATATATATATATATATATATATATATATATATATATATATATATATATAACAGCCTAACAGAAACCCTAATGGGCAAAAACAGCCTCTTTTTATTTGGCCCTTTGCATTCTTTGAAAATAATCCGTAATTAAATACCCAAATCAGCCGGTTTAACTTTTTATTGAGCAATTAACTTTTTTTTAAAACAAGAGTTTAACTTTTTTTAGTGGAATAAGAATTATCATTAGTTAGAAATCAAATGAGAAAACAATGTTTGATGGAATAGACTCCCAAAACCTAAAAGAAAAGTAACACATCTTACCAAAGTATTAACCAACTTATTTAGATCGTCTTACATGGTATATCACGAACAGTGTAATTTTCGTCAATTATAAAATGTTAACTATGACTTCAAACAAAAAGGTTAAAAAAAATACATGGATAAAAGAATCTTTTATATTTGCATTTGAAACTCCTAATTCTAAAAATTTGGCGTGTAAAATTCTGAAAATTTGACATGTGTCGTCTCACTTAGCATCTTAAATAACATGACATTCATTATAAAAAAATCATTATGACTACTAAAAAAAGTTAAACAATACATGGATAAAAAATCAATTCATAAAAAATAAAAAAATTATTTTCCAAAAATAAAAAAAATTATAGTCACATTTTATATTTTTCACAAAAAACTTATTAAAGTAAAAATTAAAAAATACATTTATTTTATAGATGATTTTTATTGGAATTTTCAAATGATGTTATTTTCAAAAAAGTAATAAAAAAATAATAGTTACATTTTTTTACATAAAAGTTTTAAAAACGGTCACATAAATTTTACACCCGAGATTTATAGCACTTGATATGAATTTATTTTTAAAAATAAAAAATAAATATAGTTACATGGGTTTTCACAAAGAAAATTTCCAAAAAAAATAAAAATAATCATAAGTATTTTGATTTTGACTTTTTTGAAATTACAAGAACTATTTTTTAAAAAGCACAAAACAAATTATATTTGCATGGCATATATATAACAAAATAGTATTTTAAAAAAATCACATATTTTTCATAGACAAATTTACTGAAATTCAATATAATAGATCAAGACCTGAAGTGGAGGATTGGAGCTGAGATTATCCCCACTCGAAATTCACGAGCGTGAACCTGAGAGGCTAAGGGACATAGACAAAACATTGGAGTGCCTTAGAATGGATAAATTTCACAAATGGTACCTGAACTTTAGCTGGAATTTCGAAGTGGTACCTGAACTTCAAATCCTTTCACAAAAATCTCTGAACTTACACAATCCTTTCACAAAAATCCCTGAACTTACACAATCCTTTCACTAATGAGCCATTAGCCCGTTTCTAGGTTAACTTCCGGTCATTAGGGCCAAATTCGAATTTTATATATTTTAAAATTTTCAATTTGACCCCATTTCTTCTTTTCTTTTCTTCCACGCCCCGCCGCCGCCGCCCGCCGGTCAAAGTCACCGGAAAATGAACTTTTTCTGATTCCGGCGGGACCAATGTCATTCTCTTCGTCTTGAGACGAGGATCAATAATATCCAAACCATTTTGTCTAATTTGGCCTGTAACTTCTCGAATCTGAATTTTTCTACTCGAAAAAACCCTAAAATTCGGAATTGGGTCCAAAATTGGGGGTTTTGCAAATCTTCATCAAATCTTGCAATTGAGGGGTCCTTGGAGGTCGCCCGGATGCCACGACCGCATTGGAGTTGGTGCCCGCCGTCAATTTCGCCGAAGTTGGCCGGAAAACGCTCCGACCCGCCGGCGGTTGAGATAAAATTACAACTATTTTTGGAGGGCTAAGTTGAAAGAATAATAATTAGAATCGGTCATTTTGAATTTTTTGTCTATGTTTAGACAATGAAAAATACCAAATACATTACATTAAGCGTCTATTTAACATATATTCCATACGGAGGATCACCGAATGAATAAATTTACATTATAAAGTACCACATAGATAATTAGTGCTTAATTAAAATTGATTTCGGAAAGTAACTTATTAGAAATGACCATTTTAGATTACTCAAAAAAATTTATTATGTGTGTGTGTGTGTGAGACTAAAACATAAAAGTTCTTTAACATTATATTTACAACTATAATTTTTAAAACAAAGATATTTGTCATGATTATGTACCACACTTTTAGACAAACTGAATAATACATATTCTATGAGGTAGATTCAAAGCTACTCTTAAATTAAAGGAAAAATTATCCAAAATAATCTCAACTTTACCCGGTTTTTCAAAAATAATCTCACATTTCACTGTGATGCATAATAATCCCAACTTTACTGAAATTTTCGAGTTTTGGGTCACCGTTAAGTTTCTAACGGAGGGTTAACGGAAATGCCCGTTTTAGGCAACAAAATGAAAGTTGGGATTATTTTTAATGAATTTTCATTTTTTTTATTTTTTAAATTTTTCATTTAAATTTTTTAAAATTACTTTCTACCTCCATCATCATTTCTTTTTCCTTTTTTAAAGATTAGTCTTAGTTTAAAAAATAAAAATAATAGATATAAAAAATGAAAAAATGAGAAATGTAACTAAAATGATACAAAAATAATAAAATAAATAAGGTAATCAATGGAAACTAACTTGAAATTGGTAAAAGTAAAATAAAAATATACGGGTGGGTTTTAATATTTTACGCATTATACAAAGTATTAACATATCACTTCTTATTTTTTAGAAAAAATTATCTACAATAATTCCAACTTTACCGGACGGCTTGTTCTTTTAAAAAATAAGTAGTACATTAAGACTCCGTATAGTGTNTTTTTTTAAATTTTTCATTTAAATTTTTTAAATTACTTTCTACCTCCATCATCATTTCTTTTTCCTTTTTTAAAGATTAGTCTTAGTTTAAAAAATAAAAATAATAGATATAAAAAATGAAAAAATGAGAAATGTAACTAAAATGATACAAAAATAATAAAATAAATAAGGTAATCAATGGAAACTAACTTGAAATTGGTAAAAGTAAAATAAAAATATACGGGTGGGTTTTAATATTTTACGCATTATACAAAGTATTAACATATCACTTCTTTTTTTTTAGAAAAACTTATCTACAATAATTCCAACTTTACCGGACGGCTTGTTCTTTTAAAAAATAAGTTGTACATTAAGACTCCGTATAGTGTGTAAAATGTTAAAACCCACCACTCCGTATATATTTATTTTATTTCTTTTCAGTTTCTGTTTAATTTCTATTGATTACATTATTTATTTGATTAATTTTGTATGGTTTTAGTTATTTTTCTCATTTTCATTATTTTTTATATCTATTTTTTTCTAAGGTAAGAATAATCTTTAAAAAAGAAAAAGAAATGGAGGTTGAAAGTAATTCAAAAAATTTAAATAAAAATTTCAAAAAAATTAAAAAACAAAAATTCATCAAAAATAATCCCAACTTTCATTTTGTTGCCTAAAACGGGCATTTCTGTTAACCCTCCGTTAGAAACTTAACGGCGACCCAAAACTGGCAAATTTCAATAAAGTTGGGATTATTATGCATCACAGTGAAAGGTGGGATTATTTTTGAAAGACCGGGTAAAGTTGGGATTATTTTGGGTAATTTTTCCTAAATTAAATTACCTAGCACTTTTGTTTATGGTAAGACTAATTATGATTGATGGTGTAAATTATTTGACCGGTCAAACTATACTAGACCGGTCTAGAATAGTTTGCTTGATTTGGTAAAATAAGAAAGGTAAAAACACACAGAGTGACCGGTAGGACTTTAGGTGGAACACCTGTAGCCCAATTTATATTATAACAGAGAATGCACGGGTGCTTTTACAAGGGGGTTTAGAGAGAATGAATTCGGATCCCCTACTTCTGAGAGTTAGAGCAGTATTTATACTAGGCTAAGGGTGACAAGACCACGTGCGCCCACGTGGGGGCACGCTGCTGATGTGGTGCGAGGTGACAGGTTTCGTCCTCGAGCTGCCCTGTCGTCTTGTGAGGGGAATTACTTCCCTTGTCGCGTTCTGGTGGAAACATTCTTTCAGCATCTCCACTGAATCCCCAGCAATGCCAACCACTACAGTCCAAGTCCTTTTGGACTCTTCTTGCCGACACTCTCCAATCTTCTAAAACTGTACCGGCTGGTTCTTGAGGGTTGGATCTGCTAACTTCAAAGGATGAATTAGACGCCGACATAGTTCGATCGTTATTCTATTCGAAGTATACCGGTCAACTTTTTGGTCAACCCTTTACCCTCGTACTGACGATTCATTTCCCTCCTTCAAGCTTGACCTCTTTGACCGGTCAACTATCTGGTTCCTTCTTTTGACCGGTCATGGGTGAAATACACCCATCAATATGGAAGGCAAGAGAGAGGAGCTTGACTGGTAAAACTCAGGAGATGTGCGAGAAGAAGTGAAGAAATAAATGGGGTGGAGCTCTTTATATACGGTGCATGGGGAAGACGAATGAGCAGGCTGACAACGGTACAGTACGGATGGTTGAGGCGCGACACGTGTCCAAATTCGAATTTCGAATTTCAAATTTAATATTTTGAAATCTTTAGGCGGGAAAAGCTGAAATTCGAAATTAAAAGTCCTGTTTCAAATTTTTTACTTCCCGCTTATGACAAATTGCATAACCGAGAAGTGAAGGGCTTATTGATGAGTGTATTTCACCCATGACTGGTCAAGAGAAGGAACTAAATAGTTGACCGGTCAAAGAGGTCAAGCTTGAAGGAGGAAAATGAATCGTCAGTAGGAGGGTAAAGGGTTGACCAAAAAGTTGACCGGTATACTTCGAATAGTATACCGGTCTAACTATGTCGGCGTCTAATTCATTCTTTGAAGTTAGCAGATCCAACCCTCAAGAACCAGCCGGTACAGTTTTAGAAGATTGGAGAGTGTCGGCAAGAAGAGTCCAAAAGGACTTGGACTGTAGTGGTTGGCATTGCTGGGGATTCAGTAGAGATGCTGAAGAAATGTTTCCAAACCAGAACGCGACAAAGGAAGTAATTCCCCTCACAAGACGACAGGGCAGCTCGAGGACGAAACCTGTCACCTCGCACCACATCAGCAGCGTGCCCCCACGTGGGCGCACGTGGTCTTGTCCCCCTTAGCCTAGTATAAATACTGCTCTAACTCTCAGAAGTAGGGGATCCGAATTCATTCTCTCTAAACCCCCTTGTAGAAGCACCCGTGCATTCTCTGTTATAATATAAATTGGGCTACAGGTGTTCCATCTAAAGTCCTACCGGTCACTCTGCGTGTTTTTACCTTTCTTATTTTACCAAATCAAGCAAACTATTCTAGACCCGGTCTAGCATAGTTTGACCGGTCAAGTAATTTACACCATCAATGATATGAAATAAAAGTATTTCTTTCACATTTAAATTTAACTAAATTCTGATTGAATGACTTATATTCATAATTTTGTATTCTTTTCTCTACTTTTATAAGAAAACTTTCAAATAAAAGAAATCTCTTTGGATAAGAGTAAAAGAATAATGAAAATAGTAAAATACGAGTCATAAGTCTTTTAAAACTAAAATTAAGAATATTATATCAATGTAATGTAAGAATATACATTAATAGTGTGATTAAAAAATGATGACAATGCAATATGACAGTGTGATTGGTTAATTTTCAGCAATCCGTGGCGGTAATTTGACTGTAAACTATTCCCAAACAAACATTTTTTCTGACTTTCAAGAAGTACAAAGATAAACTGAAATCACAACATGACATTTCAAAGTTAACCACACGAGGAGCAAGTATTACAAGCGAATTGGACAAACTCTCATCACAATTTAAACAAATATCCATATATATTTTTTAACAATGTTACATCGTACTACGTATATTAATTAAACAAAACAACTTTTTTTAATATATTTTGAAAAATAAATATAAAAAAAATATTTTTGAACTTATATGTATTGCAATTCTTTTTAAATTATTTCAAATTTTAAAAGTAAACATACTAATTTGTTTTAAAAAAAACTAAAAACTCAAAGTAAATCAATAAAAGGAAAATGAAGTTACCTATCTCGAACTGTAGAAGTCCATAGAGTTCCTTAGCTGGGAGGATCATGGCTTATTTGGTAATTATATAGAAACCAAAAGATCTGCAGGTCCAGTAGAAGTCCATAAATCAAATATAATCAATTCCCAAGGAAGAAGAAGACATATGAATGAACAAATTCTTTAAATAGGGAGTTATTGGAAGTTATTGGGGGCACATTGGCCTGATGTGTGATCTTTGTGGGATGAAATGATCATTTTTAGTCCCTAAAAAATGGTGTCATTGTGTCGACATATTTGTAACATTACACCTAATTACCATTATTCTTTCTCTCTCTGTTTTAATTACGGCGTACATTGATTTCTATGTTCGAAAATTTCTTTTACACTTTGATTCAGCACGCATATTATATGGAGATCGGGAGTTGAAAGAGACATGAACCTTTTCCCCATTTGCCACTTCGAATTTAACTTATAAAAAAGAATAGTTGTAAGGGTGTGTTTTGGTACACGGAATTACGGAATTGGAATTAAGAGTTGAAATTCTATGAGGGTCCGTTTGGTATACGGAATTGACGGAATTGGAATTGAATTGGAATTGAAATTCCATGGATTCAATTCCATAGAATTCCATATAATTGAATTTTGTCAATTCCAATTCATTTTTTGCACTATCAATTCCAAATCCACATAATTTTTGTGTTACCAAACACCAGAATTGGAATTGAAGTCTTCAATTCCAATTCCATGGTTTGAATTCCATGTACCAAACGAGGCGTGAAATTGATTTGTTTGGAATTGATTTCTCTCATTCCAATTCATTTTTGACACAACCAATTCCAAATTCACATATTTTTGCGCTATCAAATAACTAAATTGAAATTACTATCTCAAATTCTAATTTCATAGTATAAATTCCATGTACCAAATAGAGAGTAAGTATATGGTTAAGTATATGGTGAAGATATGATAAAGCGGAAGTTAATAAAATGAATAGTGAAGATTTCGTATGTAAATTATTATAAACGCTGAAAGGCAAATTTGGCATTTGGTATTTATACAACTTTTTTTACCATTAAAAAATATGAACGGAAAAAACGAAAGTGAGCAAAATTATTTGATGGATTAGGCAAAAATACTTCATCATCCAATAATATTTATTAAAAAAACACATTTTCTTTTGTTTTTGGTTTTTTTGGTACAATTTTGTTTTTGGTTTAGATCGACATAGTACTTTTATAAAAGAAAAAAGAAGATCGACGTAGTACTAAATCGGAGTTCGAAGTGATTCTCATCAATTTATAAAATTAGAAAACAGGCTATTAGACATGATTTCTAAGACAGTTTTTCATTATATTAATGATAAATCAAATGCTCCATTAACATTATGAAACATGTTCTTGGCAAAATATGTAAGACATGGCTATTGGCCTCCTAACCCTTGTTTGCCCCCAACAAATACAACACTACCTCAAAGTCTCCCTCTATGCTAGGGTAAGAAGGGGTCGGATATATGCAACCTAACTACTGTGTTTAAAACATAAAGCGACAGTTGTTTCGTGATGACCCATAATGAACTTCAAAAATCAGATTGACTAAATGTTTCACTACTACATAAATCGCAACCACACAATTTCATTTTTTTTTTCTAAAATTTCTAAAAAGTTTAATTTGAGTTGGATTCTTGATCTTGTAGTGAGGCTGGGTACCAACCATGTCATGTTGAATTTCATATTAGCCCAAGAGCTTAACTTGTCCCAAACAGCACTCCCATTAGGGCAGCTGCACAGTAATGGCCTGCATCCTCACTGTCAGCTTCACACAAGGTACACGTAGGATCCATGAATCGACTCGTCCTGGCTTTAGTCTGTAATCTACCTCTGAAAATCAGCCAAAAATTAAATTGGTGTTTTGGAATGGACCATTTATTTCAAACTAATTAGAAGCTGCTCCCCACAGAAAGTTCCTACAAAGGGATTGAACCTTTTCCATGACCTTATTGGGAAGAAGAAAGATTCTAGACCTGAAGGAAACAATGCCAAAAAGAACTGCATTAACAAGTTTCACCCTCCCATCATATAATAGGTTCTTGGAGGCCCAAGGGTTGATTTTTATAGCTAATTTCTCCACCAATGTTTCACATTCTCTCTCACTAATTCTGAGGCAGATATAGGCCCTCCTAAATATATGAAAGGGAACTCACCTTTGCACATTCTAGCCATCTCCATGATTCTGCCTTCTTGCTTATCAGAAATACCACCCACTTTTATCTGAGATTTGCCATGATTGATTTGTAAACCCCTAACAGAATGGTTTCGAGCCAGAGCTGTCAAAATACAATTGATAGAGCCTTCTGAAAAAAAACCAATACAGCTTTAGTAACAAACCGCCCTACTGTACTCCAATGGCCCTTTTATCTGTCCACAGTTTTCCCCAACAGTTCCTGAAAATAATTTTAAGAGAGTAAAGAAGTGTTGAAAAATAAAAAATATGTGATTAAAATTTAATTGAATCAGAGAAATTTTTCAAGTCACGTACTCAATTCTTTAAAGGGAAGTAAGAAGTCTTAGGGATATCAAAAAAGGAAAATAACGAGCTTTACCTAGGTGTACTCCCTGTATACTAGAATTTTCTTTCTAGTTGACCAGCACACATTATTGAGAGATGAAAAATCATTCACATTTCACATTTACTCTTATAAAAATAGTGTTAAATAAGGTATATAGTATTGACATTTCACATTTACTCTGAAATAAAAATGTTAAATGGAATGAATAGTATCGACAAAATGTAATAACATGAAAACTAAGCATTAAGAGTGGAAGGGTAATTAGATATTTTAGAAAAAATATTTTCCATAAAAGGTAAGGGAATTTATTTTTTGGGCGGAGATTGAGTATTGTTCATGGTATAGTGTACTTATTTCATGTAGAATTATCTCTTATACATTCTTGTTTTGCTTTGTTGAGCAATGATGGATACATAAAATTTCCTCCAATAACTGTACCTACAGAACAGATCAAAAAGTCAAAATATTGAATCCAAACAATATCTCTTATGTAGATAGATTAAAACCACATAACATACTACAAGAGTCAAAATCGTTCATCGCACACCAACAATATCTGTGGCCGCTTAAGATTCACAATAAGAGATGCAAATTTACAAATTCGAGGCAAAGGCATGCAATGTATTACCTAATGTCCAAGATATGATTCACAACATATATGCATCCGCCAAAGTGAAAAAAATTACAGTAGAAAGTTTAGTTGATAAATTAAAAAGAATGTTTCCAACGAATTCGTAAGAATTAGTAAGGTAAACAAAATAGCAATACACAAGGTGGGGGAGCATAGACCCATTAATATGACATACTGACACTAATCTTCTCTCTAAATTTCCAGAAAGCAATGCCGGAAACACACAAGATCTTGTTCCTGCGATTAAAAGAGGTTCATACAATGGTGAAATAACAGCCAACAATGTGTCTGGTTCAGTATTGCAATCATGCATCTATAATCTATTTGAAGTATCTAAAGTGTTAAAAAGGAGGTGAGTTTAAATTGTTTATATAAGGGTAATTTACCTAAATAGGACTAAAAACTGATGGAAATGCATGAGAACTAATGCAATTAAATATGAAAATGCCTCCTCTAGTATCGTAGAAGTTGATATGTAAATGCCGAAAGCATAGATATATAGTAAACCAAAACCAATGAAGAACTAGGTTTGCAACACAAATGATCTCATTATATGCAAAAACAATTCTAGAAACAAGGAGCCCATCTCAAGATTCTAAAATAATGGTGAATTGATGATGCTGGACAGGAATTGACACTCCATGAATCAAAGCCAAGAAATCCATGGCAAAAAGAACAAGGGTAAGGGATAAACTTGAAATGTTCGAAAATCATATCTTCCTCGGTCCCGCCCGTAACTCCGAAGTGTACTTTACAAATGCAAGTTTTGATTTCTCGAGTACATTCGTTCGTGACATCCATAGTTATCCAATACACATAGCCATGAATGTTGTAATTGGCCCTCCCTATGCTCACCCATTCCAGTTTCTCCTAGATGTTAATATGAATATGCAACTGAAACTAAACGAAGGAAAGGGAGAGTCATGGACTCGATTATGGGAGAAAACTCTCTTGATCATCCTCGTCCCTGAAATTGATGGGTAAAGGCCCAACCCAAATGTGAAATGTTGAAACCAAGTCGAGATAGTAACAGTTAGAAATACGAATCTAATGTAACCCTCAAAGTACTCATCGTCCTGCTCATTTTCAATGAATAAGACATTGCTATAACCGCGCTGTCACAACTAAGGCTCTGCTTCTTTGCTTCGGGTTCTCCATCATCCATGGTGGGTGAAGGAGAGGTAAACCCACACTTGCCATGCACCCGTGGTCATCACACCTAGAATCAACTGGTTGACTCATCACGGTTCGTGCATGGGCTACAAGCCGGCCGCACAAACCTCTATAGTCATCCACTTTCATGGGCCTATTAAAGGACACTGTCGGATTCACCTTGCCACCCAGAGTAACCAAGAGACTTACAAGTACAATGCTGCGACACAGATTGAACATTGAGCGTATGAGGAAAGGTCGTACATCTATGAGCTAAGGGAGAACACTCCATTAGAAACACGACAATGATGCACAATGCCTCCGGACCGTTGCCTCAATGATTGTAGTCTTAATATAAATCCACCTCTTTACACCTGTAAACAATCAGGTTTCAACTACTCTCTCCGTCCACTTAAGATCTTCTTGTTTAAAGTTTTTGTGGTTTTTAAGAAGAGTTGAAAAAAGGCAAAAGTTTACCAAGATACCCTTGATGAAAATGAGTGGCGTATATTAAATGAGGTAGATGAGGAGTAATAAATAGAAGATAGTTGTGGTATTTTAAATATTAAAAAGGTAATGAGAAAATCTATGGAAGACAAATAAAAACGGCTAATCAGGAGATCTATGGGTGACAAAGAGAGTATAATATTCTCATTTTTCTTTACTCTACTTAAATCTAAACACTCATATCTAGAGGTGAATTTTGGTCCATCACAATCACATGCATACATAAAATTATTTGAGCATTGAAATAAATAAAATCATATTTTAATTTTAATATTACTTTTTTATAAGGTTAAATTAAAGATTTTAGAGTGTATATAACCCCATGCAATATAACCTAAGCACTAAAACTAGTGTACCATTTCTTTTTTAATTTTCATTGATCATATTTTAAAGCAAATAATCTTGTCACCTCTTGTTTTAGAAACTTTTGATATAATTTTAAAAAGAACTTTTGACATTTTTGGGTCATAAACTTTATTTCTAAATTTTATGTTAATATTTAAATAAATTGAATAAAAAATAACTTCACTGAAACATACATATGTGTGTATGTGTGTGTATATAAATGCTCTAAAGTTTTTAAATGTGGTACTAAAATATGTATATATAACGATGTGTAAAGTGTTATTTAAATTAATTGGTGGATGTGTCTTGATATTACTTATTTTCTTATTTGTGTACATATCATATATGTGTGTGTGGACGTACAATAAAAACTTCATAACTACATGTAATTAATATTGGTATTAAAACTTATGAACCTTAGGTGCACAAAAATAGTTTTATTTCATTGATTAGTAATGTGATCGATTAAGAGGTAAAACTTTAGAGCATATTTTAAAAATGAAACCTTAGTTAAACATCTAACACAACGTAGCTAGCTTTTCCTCTGTACTCCAAACTTTCACTGTGGAACACACTGACCTTGGTATTCTTCTTCTTAGGTGTCTTCTTCTCTCAACCAACACTTCTAAAGGTATATGCTTCTGTAATCTATAATTTGTCTACTCAAGTATTTTAAGCTACATATAAATATTATTTTGGTTGTTTTCAAAAAGCTTCACGAGAATGAACATGGGCAGCACAAGCAAGGGCAAGCGTAAACAGAAGAAGAGAGACAGATCAAAGGTAACACTTGATCTTCTTCAAACACAAATTTCAATTTTGTATAGAGAGCAAATGCAAATGTAGTGGGGTCATAGGTAGAAGAATACACACAAATGGAGTTCATGCAAATGGAACACTATAAACCATAAATACAATGCCTTTCGAGAGCTAATTCAATCTCTGTGGAGTAGTTAGGGCACTTGAATGGAAACTTTCAATATACACTACTTGCAAGATATCTTAAAAGATGACCAATCTCATTACCAAAGCTCTTTTCCTCTTATTTTTTTTAACATTGAATCTAAGAGCTCTTCTAAGGCTAAGGGCTTATCAACAACCCTTGCCTTTACTTTGACGAATACTTATAATACTGCTCTCACTCTCAAAACGAGTTTACCAAATCCAACACTGCTCACTCCCAAATTCATATGGATTTCATTATTTATTTATACATAGCCATTGCCTTGGTATACTTTTCTAGTATTCTTCACAAAAACATGGGTTTCATAATCAATTATTTGTTGGACCTTTCTCACGAGGACGAGAAGAGTTGAGCAAGCACACAAGTCACTTTGTGCAGTGCTCTTTCTTCACATATGTCTTGTGAGTTGTGACTATGTGCAGTACTCTTTCTTCACGGATTTCAAAATAACTATTGTGTTTTAGCCACTTCCACAGTCTTTGTGTTAGCTAGCCAACAGGTGGCTGCATTAGTAAGACTCACTGAATGCACACATAATTTGGATTATTTGTAAAATCACAAAATAATTAATTTATATTGGTATTAAATATTATTCTCTATCAACATTTGAGTCTGGATGAAGATTTATGTGTTAAATGGAAGAGACAACGAGAATTAGTTAGCTCGGTTCGCACGCAAATTACAAGTAAACTTTGAGTCATATACTTTGTCAACGTATGTAGAAAATTCAAAGAGGTAATATACAATTAATCATATATTATACTTATTTTTTTACAAACATATGTTAGGCTATATCTGTATCCGCAACAATGCAGACAACAAGCAATATTAGAGTAACAAATCTCCATCAATTCATCCAAATTTCAACTCAAGATTTAGCTAACTACGCACCTCATTATACAGACCATGAAGGTGCTTCCTAACACTGAGTGTCCATTCCTCGGAAAGTGTGAGAAGTCAACCAAAAGCATAATCATGTACTCCGTAATTAATTGGTCATGTGGAATGTGTGATGAAAGTATTGTGCATATTGTTTCTACTTTATACATTTCATATAAGTCTAATTGCTCTCTCTAATTTACTTCACTAATTTTTTATCCATTTAATTAAAGAGAAAAGTGTTATATATTTTCCTGACTATATTGAAATAAAAAAAGCCAATGAAGTAGAACTATTAAAAAGAATTTGCAAGCTACCTGTTGTGGCTGAGATTGAATTAACCATAGAGTTAAAAATATTACCAATAATAATTAAATATAATTATAAGTCATGTGAAGAAGGGAATTTGGTACTTTTGTAAAAGTGTTCAAAAGAAGAGATTTGACAACGATAGAATTTATACAGTATGTTATTTAAGCTAGTTTTATATATTTCACTTTTGAACTATAATACGAGATATATGAGGGTGCTTCTTTCAATGAGAAGAAGAAGAAAAGAGACCCATCTACTTCTTCGCATGCTCTATTTTGATTGTAGGTTTTAATACCGATCCCGATGGCACCAATTATTGGTGGATCAAAATTTCTTAAGGAAAAGAATGAGCAAAAGTTGGATATGTGAAAGTAATAAGAAAGTCTGGCACAAACCTACCTCCGCCTTTTATATATCTAAAAAAGAAGAGCCGTAGTCTATGATAGACTTTCTTAATACTTTACCATATCTATCTTATGTCCGTTCTTTTTCTCGAGAATTCTTAATCCACCAATAATTGGTGCGATCAAGATGAATAACAAAACCTACAATCAAAACAAATATATGTGAAGGCAGGTCTGTTCTTCTAATCAAGAGAAGCGCCCTTGTATTCAAATGAGACAAATATAGAAATAGCTTAAACAATAT